TAAATTTGTTAAATATTTTTGAATGATTGCAGGCACATTCGAAATAATATTGTCAAAAATTGAAAAATCGTTCAGAAACTTGTTCACACTATTAATACAGCTCCGGACAAGTTCGATCATGTTCCAGTAAAATATTCTTTCGAAGGAACGTTGCTGGAGCGAGATCGGAGCGAGACTGGACCGAAACTATAGTGTTACCCATAGTGTGGATGTAAACAATGAAAGAATATTTGATCGGACCATCAGTGGAGCGTGAGCGGACCATGAGCTGACCGTGAGCAGACCGATAGTATAAATCGGGACTTAGTTGGTTAAAAAACAGATGGAAACGCGCGGCAATGGGAAAGACAAGCGCCGTTGCTTGCGTCGTCGCTCTTACGTCTCGGCAGAGTGCGTCAAAGCTTGTATCAAAGGCGTTTGCTCGCTCATGATTACATTTAGATCACTTTATAAGACAAGCAAAAGCAGTTCACATTAAAACTAAACTGTAATAAAATTCTGCGATTAAAACAAGTAAAAAAAGAGAAAGCAATAGAAAACGAGAGAAAGCAATAGAAAACTTGTGACGCGAGTTTTAGCGTAGTGCAATGAGACGTAGGAGCGGCGATGCAAACATGGGCAAAAACCTGTCTTTCCCCTTGCCGCAAGTCGCCATTCGTTTTTATCAAACTGAATCGCGTTAAGTCTCGAGCGATTTTAGCGACTCGAGCGCTCCTCTCTTATTCATTCAATTCTTTAAAATTAATTTTTTCGAAAACTATTGCGAATATTGCAAAATAGTACGAGACTTTCTTACAACACTTTAATCCATTCTATGCTTTCGAAGTTTAAAAATGGTGATGTGGGATACCCTGTATGTAGGATGTTTGACAATATCTGTCCAAAGATAATATATTGTTAGAATAGGTCTGGGTAAGTAATAGAGGATCGGTATCTTTCTCGAAATAATCACTTAAAATTTAGAGAAAATTTATAGGAAATTTATTAACGAGGAAAAATTTGCACGCAACGCCAGCACATTAGCTAATCCAGTATGTGCAATGTAATAAAATGAAGGTTAAACGCTCGATCACGCAAGCATTGGTTCACTCTTCCTGAGCAACGAGAAGTATCGCCGAAATGTAAATGTTTACAGAAAACAATTCGAGCGGCGCGTGAGAAATTTTTTTCGGCGTGCCGCTCGCATATATCTTTCCGTCTCCCATGAATATCTACGCGTCAAATATGTGTATATATTGGTGGAGTTTAGTTTATCATATCTCATAATCAGAGTGATACTGAAGTTTGACGTTGCATCATCAAAATTGTGTGGATATAATTGACGCATATAAGTGAGGACCGCGTACATGCCGGATGTATGCCGCAGCTCATAGACTGCTACAACGTTTTTTCACACCAACGTTTTTTCCTTCTACTTGTACATACATAGAAATTCTGTCCATCTGTGTAACGACTCGTCGACATTTAGTCTTATTTTCATCGAAGGGACGACTGGAGATATAATTCGTATTAAAAATCATCAATTGGAAAAAATTAAAGTAATAAATAGTCGCAAGAATTCACAAGACAGACATCGATCGGGAGAATATAAGAAAAACGTGACAAAGAAAAAGATTCCTTTCAAAAATCGATATTCTGTGGAACAAGAGATAGCAGGAATCGCTGCAAAGAAATGGGAAACCGCTCGTTATATACTTGTGTTTGAAAAAGAGACTATATTATAGTATCTTTAATTTTTTCATTTACATATTTATTGTAATAATCCAGCACGTGAAGTGTAAAAAGTGTAATGGAGATGTTAAATTTAAAGTTGAAAGTGCTCGAGGGGACTGAGTTTCAAAATTATGATTGCGTATGCGGTATATGATCCGGTTTTTATTTTACTTTATCCGCTCATTAATACTGCCTATGAAATCCATAGATGCTATTGTTTGCACTATGGCTATAACATTGGTTTAAAAGGAGCTGAAAAACTTTGTGATATAATAGATTTGCTTCTTCCTGTGACACAAAAGTCGTACAATGTCAGTATATTTTTATTTGGTTTCCATGATGAAACCCAATAAAATGTTTTCAAAACATGACTGACAAATTTCCCACCACCATCCCCCTTTCCTGTCTCCTTCCCCCTATCCTCCTACACCAACCACTATATAAAGGAAGACCTCTCAAGAGCAACTCGGCATCGGGTCGTTCCTGTCTGATGAAGTGGACAGAAATGTTCGCGGAATGTCGGAATCAAATAAAAAATAATCTACGCGGCTCAAACCCGGAAACGAAATCTAATATGTTCCTTGATAAAAGTGTATTTACAAGAGTTATTGAGTAGGAAAAGGCTATGAAAAATTGTAGATTGGATAACAGAGTTAGAAGTTTCTGATGGCACGTGGAAGAAATGTAGTTTCACTTCATTACTTGGATCAACGATATTGATCGGTTGATTCATAAGAAAAGTCGACAATATTGTAGTGAAATATGTGACTTGTAAAATATATATTGTGAATATTGGAAATCGAGAATATACTCGGCTGAATATAAAAAGTGAAAAGCAGAATATGAGACTGACTGCTTATTGAATTCATGAAGAATACGCTGAAAAGATGGAGATGGATGTTTTAAAGGAAATGTTTTTATAATCTGAGGAGCGTTACAATTACATAGAAGATAGTGATTCAATTACATAGAAGATGGTGATTCGAAGATGTATAAAAGAGTGGTTGCCGCAAAATCGTATAAAGATACAATACAAATAAATAAAAAAGAATGCATTGGACACATAAAAACGGATGATAACACGATTTTGTCAATGCGTAAAAAAAAATAAAAGTATCAATGGAAGTAATAAGCTCACTGGAAAAATGATTGATAAATGAAGCATCTATTATGGATTAACAATGGCTTGTACATGTAATGAGCGAAATAAAGATTGAATAACGTGTTACTGTTGATATCGCGCTCATTACATGTACAACAAAGATTGAATGACGCGTTAGTGTTGTTCAGTGCACTTCCCGAACGCATCTTTGATTGGCACTACATAGCGCTCCTTATAATCCCAACGGCCCTGAGGCTTGGAGCTATGGACGTAAAAATATCTGGACGGAGCATATTGTCGCGAGGGTGAAACCCAAGAGGTGAGGAGAATGATTTCATATATTGTAATAGAGTTGATATACCAAGATGGTAATGGTCGCTAATTTGACACCGTGAGAATAGATGCGAAACTCCTGTACCAACATGGCCGCGACGATGTACCCCTTTTTCCCGTTAGGCTACACAGCCCCTCGTCTATAATCGCACTTTGTGCTCTGTCCAGATATTCTTACGTCCGTGCTTGGAGTCGACTGTCAGTTTCGAGGCTCGCCGCGTGGCAAAAAAAGATAGGAAGACGTAGCTTCCGATAATTGGCCGAAATGGGCAAACTTCCGAGCCCTACCTTATTGTAACGTTGTGTCGGAAGATATACATGACAAGTATCCTCCAGTATCTGACTTTTGATAATTGTGGCAGAAAGCGAAGTCAGAGAGCAAGTTGGTTGAGTATGAACACAATTATGAATCGGTTCCATTGGAAGTTCTAGAAGAAATCGTATATTTAGATCCCAGCACAGACATTTTTTGGAAGATTGTGTCGGAAGACACGCTCAGAACAATAATGAAAATCTCAATAATTTTATCTGGAAGATATCGTCAAATGAAGTGCATTCTAACTTAACTATAGTCGAAATTGCAGTCAACGTCGTCGCTAGCTTATTTAATGAATGATCTGTGATTTTATTAAAAATAATGCAGGCAATGCAAATCTCGATACACAGAGTTCAATATTCAACGGTGGATCGCTAAAGAAAACAATCGGTGATTGTCGGCGACAATCGGAGTTTTACCGAGTGCGTGGCGCAGTGTTCGACAAAGGACAAGCGAATGAGACGCAAAGAGTAAAAAAAAAAGATAATAAGAAGATTTCTATGTCAAAGGAAGAAATATTATATGGCTCAGATATCGACGTTACTGCGTAAGATAAAAAAATATTTTCATTCAACAATTTGTTTATAACATGAATTTGTTACTGTCACATAAAACTTTAAATACGTTTTCCTTGGAACAGTGTTTTGAAATTCCAGAAATCCAATAATCAAAAATATCTCAGAGACTAATGAATTAATTTGCATAAAATTTTGTACAGCTACGCTTAATACAGTAATATAGTGTTTGTCACAGGATTTTCTACATTTATTGCTTAATTTTTCTCTATAAATAAAAATCGATTTTTAAAACCGATTTTTAAATTAAAAATTTTTCGCTGTGAATCGCTGCTTTCAAAAAACCAATATTTTCAAAATTGGCTATGACAAATGATAGTTTTATTTATCTAGTTTAAATTTAGTGGAAATTTCTCTTTGTTTTAGATGAGAGGGGACGATAATGTGTATCGCAAACGCCGTTTTTTCGAACACCGTTCAAGAAGATAGTTCTACCAAGATCATAATTTTTATATTATTTATTGAAATTTTTGAAAGATATTTTTTAAAGACTACTCTATAAGATACGTTTTTCCATTTTCAATAAAACAATTTTACCTACAATAAAAATTCATTAATTTCGGTCAGTAGGTTTAGGCTTGTCGAAGGTGTGTAATCCCTTTAGTATTCAAAATCATTAGTTACTAAGATAAACGTCCCAGTGATCGAACATACGTGTCCCAATGATTGACATATTGGTTTTGTATTTTTCTTTGTTGAAATGCTTTTCAATATATAAAACAATATAATAAATGAAAAGAAATATTTAGTTACTTTGTGATTTTGTTTCATTTATTATAAGCATTTTAACAAACACAAGTATATTATTAGTAATTCAATTATCGGTACACGTTCAATCACTAGGACGTTTACCTTAGTAATAAAAATTCTGCGCAATAGTAATTTATCCTTAATCAACCAATAATACTTTCTTATATAAGGGCGATTAGATTATTTCAGAAATGAATTTGTTATCTTAAAGGGAAACTTTGGCTTCACGAACATCGCATTTGAAAGACGGCCTGAATCGTCTATTTTGTTTAGTACCGTACGAAGTAATCACACCCGATATATGGGATTATGTAATGCCACATTGGATGGAAGCGATAGTTAATGATGTTCCTGAACACGAACTTCACGAACTAAAAATGATACTATGGTAAGTGTACTATAAACTTGAAAAAGTATTTAAATTTCTGAATTTATAGTAGCTTTATAAATTTGTGTTATAGTAAGATTTTAGATCCGGATATGAGTCCTTTAGGATTTGACGCGAAAAAGATGTATAATTTTGTTGCAAAGCGTTTCATCAATACAAGCGCAAAAGTGCAAGAACAAGCCCTTAACTGGTTACAAACGCTTACTATGCTACAAATAATGATACCACTTAGCCAGTTATTTGCAATATTCAGCGATGGAGTTGCCGTTATGCAATCGATGAATTCTGCGGAATCAGAACTAAAGCCAAGCAAATCCACCAAAAACGGCGATGGCAACATTACATGTGTGTATAATTAACGTTATATAAATTATTATTCATCTATAATATACAAACAAATTTTGATTTAATTTAATTTTTTAATTCAATTGAATTCAATTAAAATTTTTTATTCAATTAAACGTATTTTCGAAACACTTATATACAGGTCCCGTCGTGGAAAATGAATCTGGCAAATCAACGCCACTTTCCGACGATATGGCACCAACGCCCAGGCATATGGAATTCATGACAAACGCAGAACTAAATTTATCCTGCTGCATTCTCATGCTTGACATATTATTAAAACAAGTAAGATAAAAAATTTTTTAAGTTTTGCAATTGGGATACAAAAATATATCATAATTTTTGTGTTTTTGGTTCTATCGTTTCTAGAGTTTTAAAAATAACTGTTAGAATTAAAGGGATTATTCAGGACTCTAAAGAAACTGAGTAACTTTTTAAAGGAATGTTTTAAGCTCAAAGGGCTTCTTCAGTTTAAAATTTTTAAATATTTATGATTAAAATCTTTTTCAATACAATATTTTGCGATTTCCAAACGTAAACAGAAATAAACTAATTTTATTTACGTTTTGTCATTATTCTTATTTTTAAATTAAAAATATATAAATTATTCTTATTTTTAAATTAAAAAGATATAAATTAAAAAGATATAAATTATTTAGATATATTTATAAAAATCTCTACAAAATTTATAAAGAATTTTAGAATTACTACAAATTTTTTCAGAATTCTAAAAAAAGTTTCAATTTTTGTTAACTAAAAATGTTATAAAATTGACTCTCTTTCTTAAAATAACATTTTCGCTGTTTTAAATGTTAAAGCTATTTCTAAAATAGATTAAGAACTCTACAACTTTTCAGGAGGCAAATAGAAATCTAATTATTTTGCTCAGATTTAAAAAATAAGAAGCTAACTTCACATAGATATCGATCTTTATATATACGATCATATGATAGAAAACAACAACATTGAACATTGAATAACAAGAACATTGAATTTAATTTAGATGGAACTTCAAGGTGTTGATAAACATACTGGAATCAATACATGGGTTTGTCAGGATGCTTGCCATTTAATGAAATCCATAGTTGCGTCTAACTGGAATAGTTGTCATACATGCAACATTTCGGATACTGAATGTACTTATTGTGAATCTAGAGTGATTTGGCATCAGCTGTGTCTGCAACTGATTACTTACATAGTACCGGAAAATCCAGCATATCCACCCGATGTTAGTTGACTTAATTAACATTTTAGTTTAATCCTTTAAGCACTGCTCTCACCGTTTGACCAGTAGTGATACACTAAGCACACATGAAGATAATATAAGCTTCGTTTTGAGCTTTGTTTATATTCTTTGAAAAATATCATATTGTAAAATACGTTAAAAGTCACTACGTGAATGTAAAAAAGTAGATGAATTTATTAATATTTATCATAAACCAAATTCGTATAAGTTCTTACAGTTATTTTAACAAATTAAAGAAGAGACCTGGTGTTTAAAGAATTAATCATTTCGAAAATATGATATGAATATTTATAAGGTAACAGTCCCAATTTTGTGGGTGTCTTTATTTGTGGAGTGTGAGAGTGTGTGAGTGGCGTGTGTGCGCGTGTGTGTATGTATGTGGGTAGAGTTCCAATTTCAAACTCCTTAATATATTTAAAAAATAACACATTATAATGAAAACATGGAAAATTTTTTTTACATTTTTAGTTTCTTACAATTATTTTGTAAAATTATATTTTCATATATATTGTAGATATTTTAAAAAAATTTATCACTTGTTTAGATTTACGAAACTTAGAAAAGGAAAACACAGTTAATTGCGCATTAATTTTGACAAAACTTTCTCTTAATAAAGTCTAAAGATAAAAATATTAGATGTTTGTCCGAGAGAGAGAAAGAGAGAGAGAGAGAGAGAGAGAGAGAGAGAGAGAGAGAGAGAGAGAGAGAGAGAGAGAGAGAGAGAGAGAGAGAGAG